GCTCCCGTCTAACGATTCCAGATGTTAGCCCTAGCCCCTGCGGTTTGCTCCCTCTCTCCCCGGTGCTGCGGGGATAAAGAAGGCTTTATGTGTATGCCACGGTCTCCCTTCCAGGAGGACAGTTCAGATTTGTGGCCAAAAATATGAATGCCCAGGACTCCCGCTTTGGCCCTAACCGTGCGCTGGGGAAGGGTAACCAACCCTCTCCCTTTCCCAGAGGTTTGCAGCACTTTGCACGTGTCTTGCACTTCACCTCATCAAAGCAAGCCAAATACTCGGGACGATTCAGCCCTGCTGTGCCACAGGGACAGGTGTAGGAAGAAATGCCGGCTTGTCTTTGCGAAGGCTGGTGGGCATCGCTGTGACCTTAGAGAGGTCACGACGGTGGAGTTTGGGGTGCTGTAGCCTCTCTTGAGCTACTTGCTTTCTGTCTGTGCTTTCTGATATAACCACTGATGGCTTCCTGGGATTGCATTTAGCTGCATTTTTAAGTCTGCGCGTTATTTAGCTGATGTCAATAAAAATCTTGACTGTTGCACAGGTGAGTTGATTACCATTGGTGTGCTTACTAAGCCAACAGTAATGGCTGCGATTAATCACGTAAGTCCAGGCCTAGCGTCTACAGAGCTTCTGAACTAAATCAGCTTAACATCTTAGGGTGTGTTGTTTAAGTTAAACCAACGCAGTTTTCTGATGTAAACAAGCCATTACAGCTGCTTTGTAGCTTGGAGCAGTGGTTGCAGTGTCCAGTAAATTATGCTCTGAGGGTACAGGTGGGCTGTGTTTTGAAAAGATGGTCCTGAGAGACCTGTGTGTTGTGGGGTGACTAGAGCTTCCTGGAAAAATCATGGCTCAAATTCAGCTCTTCTAATTTGTATTTTCTTTGCAAAGGCAAGAAGCAGAAAGCGGTTGGTAACATCTTGTATGGGGAGGGTGGGCAGGGGGTGGTTCAGCTTAAAACGCTCAGCTAACTTGCTTTCAAATCTCCAGACTGTTTCTCAGAGACTTCCCCCTAATAATCTTTTAGTGTGCCTGTATTCATGCAGTGTGTTCATTATCGATTACAATAGCGTTTTTCCATTTAAGTAGAGTTTTATTGCAGGAGTTCCTAAAATGCCACACGTGCTTAACACAAATGATTTGACTCGAAACTCCAGTCATCGCTGGGGCAGGTTTTTTTACCCCTAGTGCTTTACAAATTACAAGAAGGAAAGGAGATTAAGAGGTTTAAGCAAGATGAATTTCTCCTAATTTCACATGGCCACCACTTAAAACAATGGCAGTGTTCTTTTTCCCGTATCTGCAGACCCTTATCTATGTGCGAAGGGAGATGTTTGTTATAACAACCGTGGGGAAACCTTTAATTAGTTTATTAGTGCTCCAAATGCAAACTGAGACCTAATAATTCTGCCAATTACTTTCTTGAGCTGCAAGTGCCAATTTCCAACCTTAGGGGAGCCCACACATGCATCTGTCAGCTTCATTTCACGTGTATCCAAGAGTAGGAAGATTTAACTTGCCTTTGAGGCAGTCCAGTTGAATGGAGGAAGTGCTTTGAGTCAGACTGGCTTGCTGCCTGCTGAATTTTATGAACTTCTTGTAGGCTATTACCTATGGATTAGCAACAAATAGTTTGTAAGCGATTGCTGTCTCTGGCCAAAACCAGTCTCTAGAACTTAGGCACCATAAGGAGGTGTGTAGCCACAATAGGGATGTTGCAGCATCCGTTTGTTTTTTTTCCTTCACACTCTCCAATTGGAATGGCTGATGGATCCTGGTCTCCTTCCTGGCCATGTGTATTTTCTTCTCCGGTAGATGCACAGTACAGAGCCATATGGCTGATTCTGCACTATGTTGGGGGCGGGGGACTAATCCTCTGGCACTTATCCTGCCACTGCAAGTAGCTTGCAGACATCTCTTTCTGCAGTTCTCCATGCAAGCTGTGTGACTCTTGTTGGGAGCAGCAGCCCTGAGTTTTTTTGGGGTAGCTAGCCCCATGCCCACAGCATTCCTGAGCTAGTGCTGAGTATTTGTGTTCTGTTTTGTACAGCCAGTCTGATGGTTTCTACCACTTTGCTACCTCTCCTTGGCCCCATGGCTCTACAGATTAACTTACAGCCAATGTGCACATTTTACATAACATTCTCTGCTGAGGCACTTTTGCCTTTTTTTTTTTTTTCTTAAAGATTAGGGGAGATATGAACAACACAAGCTTCTTGGGATCAGACCAAGGCCTTTGAATGTAGTATTTCACAAACTACTTTCCCATTTCAATGTATGCTGGCTCTTCCCTCTAGTCCCTGTCACCCCCCCCAAGTCTGGAAAGCTAGAGAGAGAAGCCCTTTTCCCCTCTTGGCCAGGATGCTGCTCAGCCATAGCACATACTGCCAGATTGCTAACATATGGGCAGAGGGCTCAGCCAAAGTTTTGAGAGGCTCAGCCCTTGGCAGCTCGTTCCACACTTTCCTGTCTCTACACTCAGGAAATGAAGTCAGAGTGTTGATATAAAACAGGCTGGGCTGAAAACTGAGAAGCTGGAAAGACCAAAGTGGGGGACCGGGAAGGGGGAGGTGTGGGGAGATGGAGAGGGGCAGGGGCTCGCTGCGGAGCACGTTGCCCTGCAGCAGATGTGCCTTGGGGTTTCTTGCCTTGCTCCAGCACCCTCCATTTGATTTCTTTTGCTACCTTGGAGTCGGAGGACTGATATTTTATGCTGGCAGGCAGATATATGCACTTCTTCTCTGGTGTATGGGAAGATCGACACGCGGAGCTAGCGTGGTCGTGATCGTGCAGCAGCATTTATGCAACAGCTTGGAAGGGGTGAAAGTTGAAACTCTGGCAAAGACCTTGTATTTCCATATCTGGGACATGGGATTCCCTTACCTTTTGACTTTTTTTTTTTCCTGAAAAGTGACTCCGTTGCTAAATTTCTATGGAATGATGAGGTTCTAATGCCGAATGATTTTTCTCTGGCAGCTTTAACATCAGTTGTTTTCTTACTAGCCCAGAGACTCTGGGGTTGGCTGCAGGGCGTCGCAGTTAAGCAAAGCTGCAGTGGGGGTGGTCTGTCTTGCCTAGGATCTTAAGAGTTGGTGAACTTCACTTCTAGGTCACTAATTAAATGTAGACCAGTGTAGTAATAACCCAAAGTAATAAAAAGCTGGAAGCTGGCTGTGGCTTACAGAACCTGAAGTGGTCTCTGTGGCTCTGAGACCAGTATGTCGCTGACAGAGGTCACAAAAATGCTTACCCCCCTCTAATCTAGACTGATGAACAATGTTAAAAAATCCAGGAAAATTTGCTTGAAGATTTGCTTTCATAGCCTGGCACTCCTGAGAGAGAATGGAGAGTCTGGTGCCTATCCAAGTGATGTACTTTCTAGATGCTGGCTTCTGGGATACTCTTGTTGTATAGATTTTGTGATGGACTGTTAAAAATTTCATCTTTGGGGTGCATCGGAACTGTGTAGTGTCTGATACTTTTAGGAAACTCAGGTCGACTTAGCTGAAACTTAAGAGGGTGCTAGGCTGAACTTGCCGTCCCCTGAGCTCGGTAGCTTTGTCACCCTTATCTGCTGCTCTGCCCTGCCCCTGTTTTCCAGCTAATGCTTTGGGATCTCTGCCCACTGACCGTATTTGTTTTCCCTTCTTGTTTCCCCTGAGAGCAATCACCTTTTGTTGTTTCTAGCCAAGGAAGGTCTACATAACACCTCGCAAGGGGACAGTCACATAGGCATGCCTGCACACAGGGGCAGGCTCTGCTGCTAGTTGGGGTTTGGATAGCTGCAGGCTGCCTTTCGGAGACCAGTGCGATGGCTCCCTCTCTTGTTGTGCTGGGGTATAAAACCCAGCTGGAACAGGAGGCTCTAAACAGGGACCTTAAAGCAAACTCACTTGTATTGATTTTCTGTAGATCCAGTTGCGAGATTAAGCCAGGAGAATTATTTCCGACTTAGTTTCTGAATGCAATGTGAAAATTAAGATCCACTTTCTTTGTTAAAAGATGATACCTAGGGACAAAAATGTTGAGGTGGTTTTTTGGATGCCCTGTTTCTGTGTTTAGCTGGAGATATCTTGTAAGAACCAGACGGAAGGGTTCTGGGTCCGGTTACTCTGAAAAAAAAAAAGGTCCCTTAAAGCAACTTGAGTCTGATCACTGAAATTTCAGACTCTGGTTTTTAACATTCACCAAACAGTGAACTGTCCATATTGCTTGAGCTTCTAATCATTCAGAGCATGAGATTTTCATTAATGAATGTAGTTACTTGATTTTTTTTCAACTCGGGAGGTCTCCAGCTAACCTTGCATTACCGTAGTCAGAGCTGCTCGTTGATCTTCTGATGCCTATTTATTATTGCTTAATTAATCCTTTAGAAAGGTTCACAGCAAGCAATAGAGTGTAGGACAGTAGATTTTCTCAAGAGGTGAATTTAAGTCAATATAGTCCATATCTTCTGTGTCAAACCAGCTTCTGTATCACATGCCTGGCTCTTCTTGAACCTGGATGTTGGCTCAATTAAAACACTGAGGTGGTGACAGTGGGGCTGTGCAGGCTGCTTGTCCCCTCTCTGACCAGCCCGTGTTTCCACCCCATTACTGCTGTCCTGGGAAGAGGTATGAGGAGCCTTTTCCAGACACCTGCTCTGGGTGTCAAGTGGCTGATGTGAGGGTCTTGGTGCTGACTGACCCCTTGCTGGGAAGAGTGAGAACCTCGATGTCGATCCCAGCATAGGAAAGGGGACAGTGCCATGCTGCTTCCTCCTTCTGGAGGAGTTAGTGGGGCAGGGTTATTGGGCCACATCATAAAAAAAAGCAGTCAGGAAGGACAAACTCTTTGTTTCTAGAGGTCCTCTTTTCTCACAGACTTAAGGAACCAGAGGGCCTGGGTTGAGAATGCCTGCCTGGTGATGTGGGGGCTGTGTTGCTGCGAGACTCCTCTGTGCTGGTGGAGTAGGGGCTTCAGTGGAGCAGTGAGTGACTTGCTGCTGATTCTCTTTTCAGGAGAAGGAGAAGAAATACATGTTACCGGTGGATAACCTGAAACTGCGAGATGTTGAGAAGGGATTCATGTCCAGCAAACACATCTTTGCTCTTTTCAACACTGAACAGAGGTATGCTTGCATCTCAACGCACCAAGCTGTTGAAGCTAAGGACAGGCTTTATGTAATGTTAGATAGGAGAGAGTAGACACGAATGTGTTAGAATAGCTGTCCAGGAAAGATGTGTGGAACTTTTAAAGAGAGTTGTTTTGGGAGGAGATGGACAACTTCAAAAAAAAACAAACAAAAACCCTCACAACTAAACACACACAACCCCCCCCCAAGTCTGACGTCATTCTTTGTGTACCATTTTCTTCACCAGTGCATGGTCTACAGTGTGACCTTTGTCTTCAGCTGTTTGGTGTGGTTACCTGGGCCAGGATGTGATTTGAATATCTATTTATAATCAATGTTCTTAGTGAGTGAATAGGGAAAGCTGTAAGAGATTGGTGGACTTCTCCAACCAGCCTGGGTACCCTGTCCAATCCTGTTATGCAGTAGAGAAGAATAAAATGTTTGTCTTCCTTTCAGGAATGTTTACAAGGACTACCGGCAGCTGGAGCTGGCCTGTGAGACCCAGGAGGAGGTGGATAGCTGGAAGGCTTCCTTCCTTCGTGCAGGAGTCTATCCAGAGCGTGTTGGGGTAGGTTATAGCCATCATACTGGTATGAGAAGGCACACAGCATGTATCTTGAAGGAAAGCTCCATCCTCTTGTGTTAGAAATAAATAAGTCCACGAAGCTTTGTGTCTTCTGGGAGCTGAAGATATTTTGGAACAAGAATTTAGGTTTTTTGGTACGTCCTGGTTCTTCCTTTATGGAAGCTTGGGATAAAGTAACTGACAGCTTCAAAGGGGAGATAAGGAGATAAAGTAGGTAAAGACTGCCTTGATAAACCTTTCTAGCTCTCTTGTTTTGTGGGCATTAAATTCCCTATGTAGGGAGCCCATTTACCTACCTTACAATGTGTCTGAGTGAAGGCACTGTTCCTTTTCAGTAGCGTTCACTGTACGGCTGTGTTAGGAGCTTCCTGGCTCGTTAGCGGTTGTTATTCTATTCCTTCTGCCACCCAGTCAGGAAGGAATGTTCTTTTGTTTTTCTTTTGCTTGGTAGATATCTTAATGTAGTACTTTAGCAAGACCTCTTACCTCTTCCCTTAACCCTGTCCCACAACGCTTGCTGTCAGCATAATGCTCTGCTTTAAAAGTCTGTTCTAGAGAATTGTGGTGTATGTTCTTGTTCAAAGCCTTCCTGTTCCTCTGTGAGAGGAAGTTGCTGTTAATAGTTTTCCCGTTAGAAATGTGATAATTGCTTATCTGTTTGCATTTGTTGTTTCTAATAGACTTCTTGCAGTCATCTTTCCTGTTACACTTGTTTTAAGGCGAAACACAAGATATTCGTTTCTTGACAAACTGAAGTGATATGATTAGGGACTGGACCTTAACAGTGACATTGCATCAAATTGGCTTTGAACCAGGCTGGGCCTCTTAAACATGTACCAGTAAAGGGCACGTGCCACACCTACTGGTGTGCCAGTGGAGTGGTTTCAGGTAGGAACACTGATTTGTTAGGCTGACTGTCTCAAAACTCAATGTAACAAATAGCCGTTGTAGGTAAGTAAATTGCCCTTTGTTGCTAACCATGATTTCCTTTGCAGAGCATCTCACTTCAATTTTCAGTTTAGCCAAACAATTAACTTCTTCCACTTCCAGGGTAATCTAGATATTTAGGCATTTTTAGAGGGATTGGTCTTTTGCTTGTTCAGTGCTAGTATGGGATCTTCTCCAAATTCTGAGATCAACTATAACTCTTTTAATTTTTTGTCCCTTTTTGTTCTAATTTTTTCCATATATGCTCAAACTGGCCTGCCAGGACAAGGACAAAGTAAGTCTGACCCTCTCTGCCTGTGTTGCCCCCTGGGGCTCTCACTGGATAGTTCTCTCTTGTTTTTTCCTTTTGTCACAGTTTCCTGAGAGGCATTTGCCTCTTCTCCCTCTTTGTACCTTCTGTTGGATTGCTGCTGTTTGTTTCTGTTCTTGGTTTGAGTTTTCCTTTTTTCTTTTTATTTCTCCCTTTTTGTATGACTTCTGGATCTTGGTGCAAGCTTATTTTGGGGTTTTTTGACCCTCTTTTTTTGTTGTTTTGTTGGGTTTTTTTTAAGTTGTCCTGTTTGATGTCCACTTCCTTGACTTCTCACTGAGACTTTGCATTCCTTCATTATGTAAGATCTTTGCAGGAAAAGCTCAAATGAACAAGAGAATTTGCCCTTTCTCATACATTTTGTTGCCCAAAACAAAAGATGGGCAATTTCCTATGCTGCTGCAAATCCTTCATGATTGGGACAGTTTAAAAGAAAGGTTTTTATTCTTTCTAAAATCAAAGGTTTAGGTTTTTTAATTAAGCATTGAGAAAGACAGCAGTCTTTCATGCTTTGCTGCTTTGAAATTGTTTGCTAATGGACGAACATTGGTGATTGTTTCCTGTCAAACAGCACAGTCCAGGTTTTTGCCTTACAGAAATCTAAACTGCATTTCAGACAGGAAGAGATTCATCTGCTTGGCATGAAAGAAAAGATAATTATTACTTACTATGCAGGATTTGCAGTTAAAGGGATCACAAAGGTTTTCTAGGTTATTCCGTCTACTTGCAGTCTGACTGAGGGGAGCAGTTATTTCACCTCTGTAGCTGTTTTCTCATTTGTGTAATGAGGATAAAGATGCAGAGCATTAGAGAGCCTGTAAGGCTTAATTTATTATGAGTGCTTCTTGGATCTAAACTGAATCTGGGCATGAAAAACCTTCCAGGAAGCTATAAACATTAGAAGTACAGCTTTGAGTATTCATTAGAGCCATAACCTGGGAAGGTTGGTCAGGAGTCCCCGTTGCCTTGCACCTTTGTGTAAAACTTTCTACTAAGAGAGCAGCTTTATTGTTAAAGATCCTCAGATCTGAGCTGGAGAAGTCTGTATGAGCTGAGCTGTGCATTGACAATCACAGCTCAAAATGTAAGTTTGAGCTTTATTTATTGCGTGTGCTTTCTATGTGTTCCCCTCTCTTGGCTCTCTCCTGAAAAGATGATTTTGTGTTACATTTGAAGAACAAATCTCTTTCTCCTTTTCTCTGCAGGCCAGTGAAGCAGAGGAGAATGGATCAGACAGTTTCATGCACTCCATGGATCCCCAGCTGGAGAGACAAGTGGAAACTATCAGGAACCTGGTGGATTCCTACATGGCAATTGTCAACAAAACCATCAGAGACCTCATGCCGAAGACAATCATGCACCTCATGATAAACAATGTACTTATCATACTGTGGTCCATGGAGGTGGGGAGATGCAGCAGGGGAGAAACAGGGATGGAGTAAATCTAAGGCAGCTTGAAAGGAGGAAGAGCTGGGGACAGAATGGAGTGTTTTGGGAAAGACAGTGAACACCAATTCCCTCTTTGTGCTCTCTTACAGACCAAGGACTTTATCCATTCGGAGTTGTTGGCAAACCTGTACTCCTGTGGTGACCAAAATACGCTGATGGAGGAATCGGCAGAGCAGGCCCAGCGTCGTGACGAAATGCTGCGCATGTACCATGCCCTGAAAGAGGCCCTCAACATCATCGGGGACATCAACACCAGCACTATCAGCACCCCTATGCCCCCACCGGTGGACGACTCTTGGCTGCAGGTGCAGAGCGTACCGTCTGGACGCAGGTACCAGAGGCTCAGGGGGAGAGCCCCACAGACCTGCCTGATGCCTCTTTGGTGGCTAGCTGGGGCCTCCTGCTGAGAGGGAGTCCTCCTCTTCCCCTCTTCTCCCTGTGGTTGAAGAGTTCTGAGGATTTGAGCTGGGAGGCTTGCAAGCCTTGAAAGCTGTGATGTCTTTGCACAGAGTGTTGGAGGCCTCTAAACCCTTAGGTTAGATGGTGCCTGAAGTAGCTTTGAAGGCAACTTGGGACCTGGTGGTGACACAGAGGGATCCCAGGCCTGTTGTTGCAGTTGAATGCACATTTTTTTTTTTTTTTTTTTTTTTTGGCCAGGTCTCCTACGTCCAGCCCCACGCCGCAGAGGAGAGCTCCCGCTGTTCCACCCGCCAGACCTGGGTCTCGAGGCCCAGCTCCTGGACCACCTCCTGCTGGTGGGTCCACACTGGGTGGTGCCCCCCCTGTGCCCTCCAGGCCAGGTGCCTCTCCTGATCCCTTTGGGCCCCCACCTCAGGTTCCTTCTCGGCCTAATCGTGCTCCTCCTGGTGTTCCCAGGTAAGTCCTGAAGTGCTGCTCCATGCAGGTGGGATATGTCCAGCTTTGGGGTAGTGGCCTTGCCAATGCTTAGCCTGCCTGGGCCACAGACAGAGAATGGAGTGCATGGTGTGGGTACGGTCCTTGGGTATTTAAATCGGGCCCATAGGCCCATCGTTGTCCACTGAGATTTCATTGTAGAGATGAAGCAATGCCAAGGCAGCTCTCGGGAACCAGAGGGGCAGGCTCTTCTCTGCACAAACCTCTGTACAAAGCTTGTGTACCTGAGGGCTTTATTAAAGCTATCGTACCAATGCCTCTGCTCACGAATAGGAGGCGGTCACTAGAGAAATTGTCGCATGCCTTCCAAGGCAGTTTTCCCCTGTGTAGGGCTCCCCAAAGTCTGAAGTTGCTCCTTGCTCAGAGTTCTTCAAGGTGAGTTGGAGAGACCTTTATCTACGCTGTTCAGATGCGTTTTGGCTAGCATATTGCAATATTGCTGGCAGGGAAATGGATTCTTTTAGGCATTTTTGTTCCTTCTGTAATCAACTTGAACACTTTCCAGTCTAGGGCGTTCAAATCCCATGGTTTTGCATTTCCATTAGGAAGTTTTTCTTTCCTGCTTAGTCACTTGAAACACACCTCAGCATAGTAATAAGGGATTACTCCCTTGGCAGCTAAGCATGTGTTCCCGAACAGGACTTAGGAGGCAGTCTGGAACCAGCAATGCTTTTATGCTGTGTGCTCGGTCTCCCTATGAGGAAGAGAAGGTAATTGCAGAGTAAGGAATGAACATAGCCAGAAACTCCCCAATGACATGCCAGAGGGAACACTTCCCTCATGGAAAATACCTCCCCTCCAGTGGATGCTGAAGGGGAAGTGTTCTCTGCCATGCTGTACCCAGTCCAAAGAGATCATAGACCAGTTTAACTCTGGCGTGTGCAAATGGTTTTACTTTCTTGGTGCCTCTGCCCCAGTCCTCCCTATGCGCCTTGGTGCAGCTCCCACAGTGACTTGTCCTCGCGTGCCTCAGTGTTGCCCTAGGGACTGCAGTCCTGCTGGTGGCACCTGTGGATGTCAGCATGCTTCTGCTGTGTATTTTGGCTCTTGCTTCTTGTGACCCTGCTTTTCCATATACTGTTACTTCGTGGTTTTGTTTTCAGTATACTTATGCTTCTTTCTGTCTCCATCTTCCTTCACTCAGTTTCATTTCTTCACTCATGAAAAATATTCTATATACCTGATTATCATTATAGGATTCTCCAGATGGGTTGAAATGAATTGGCTTTTTCTGAAGAAATCTGTTGTAGTCTAGCTTGGTGGCTTTTCTGCCTTTTGCAGGAGATAGAAAGGAAAGGTAGGAAATGGCATTGAAGCAGAAGAAAAAAGTGTTTTGTACTTAACCAAGTAATCCCTTGCTGTAGGAGGAGAGATAGTAGGTTTGACTGCATGCTGCTGACTGCCCTGATCTGGAGTTGAGAATGTAATTCCAGAAGCTGTGAAGTGATGCTCATTCTCTGATCCCCCTCTCTGATTCTTCCAGTTGTTCATAGACTCCTCCGGATCCTGATACCAGCTTGTCATTTGAGTTCACTGGTGAATGGAGAATTTCCAATGACAAGGGACTCTTTCTCTTCCTCTCCTGTATATAGAATAAGACTGTTCCCTGCTAGCACTTGGACTCTGGGTCCTTCTGCCATGGGTGAACGAATGCCATTTCCATTGTTGCTTTTTTTTAATGCCCATCTCTTCCCTTGCTAACCAGGCTATACTATTGTGTCTGTGAGAGAGGAACAAAGCTTTTGTATACGGTATGAGTGGGCTTTTCTGTAGGAGTTGGTGTTACACAGTGAACTGGAAGTGTGTGGTGGTGGCTGGATGTACTTTGTGTGTGTGCGCACTGATGCCTGTATGGAAGTTGGGCAGTTCTTGTGCTTCTGGTTTGTTTGAGCATCTGATTTTATGAACGATAAACTCAGGCAAGTATCACTCTACTTCTTTCTCACAAATGTAATTTTCTCAAATACATGCATTTGGGAGCTGAAAGTTACAAACCACACAAGGTCCTGTCTGTGTGTGGTGAATGTCTGCATTTGGAGTCTGTGCCTATTGGAGCTATGCAGGAGGATTTGGTTTGGAGGGGGAAAACTATGAAGATCTTCCCCCAGGTATTTAGGCTCTTGAGTTTAGAATACCATGATAGAAACTGTAGGTGAAAGAGCTTAGGCAATGTTGAAAGAGAAATAAAAAAAATTAAGTGAGAGCGATTTAACTATTGGAACAATCTGTTAAAGGTGTGAATAGGTCCTTCTCTCTTTGGTACATCTAAGGAAAAAGGTGAGAGTGATCAGCGTCCTTGTAAGCATAACTCCACACAGCTTTATGACTTGAATTATTCAGGAGGTCAGAGTAACTGCTCTCGTGATTTGTGACCTTCAAAATAAAAGCCTTCACCTGCTGCTTCCCTTCCTGACTAGTGCTCAGGACCGCGTGTTACCTCCCTCTTTCCTGAGCTGTTTGTTTCAGCTCCAGCATGTAGTGTGCTCAGAAGGTGGGAGTCCTCAGTGAGAGACAAGTCAAGCTGCCTGCGCCCTGCTGGCGGGCATTGGGGCTTGGGAGTACTGCTGGCTCAGCAGGTACCAGTGTCAGCCTGGATGAGTGGACTCAGTAGGTGAGTGAGCAGTGGCCAGTAGGTGTGTGAACAGCTATTTGGCTTTTGATGCACCCCTGTGCACGACAGCATTCTGGCTGCACAACTCTGTCTGCGTGAAGTCCTGCGTGGTGAAGCGCGGTCCTGCCCGGCACCGCGCGCATGTGCTGTGTTCTGGAGAGGGACCTGGAATGTGTGTCCGTGCGAGTGTGAGAGTCTCTGTTCCACCTTCCTGACAGTCTGTGTGGCCTCTGCCTTGAACTGTCTGAACTGCCATGTTGATTTCGTGTTGTCTTTCAGAATCACTATCAGTGACCCCTGAGGAGTGGCAGCCACGGTACGTTTTGCTCTCTCCCTGCGATGCATGAGTCGTTGTGTCCCCATCCTCCATTACTGCGCTCTGCAGCTCGCCTCTGCTGCCTAGTTCTTGTGTTAGTAACAGAGTCCCTTGTCCAATGAAACCACCTCTGCCAGGATCTCAACAAGGGAGGAGTCTTGAACAACAAAAAAAAGACTGATCAGAGACAGCAGCTACTTGAGCTGCAGGAGCTGGGAAAGCCTCAGTACCTGACTTAAGGTCACTAGAGGATCCTCTCTCTGCTTCCAGGTAGAGGAGGTGGGATGGGGGAATGAGCTCTGGCAGTAAGGTCTAAACTGTGTGTCTTTCATTTGGCTTGTATTCACACTGACTGGGAGATCAGCTGAATGAACTCTGTTTCGATTTGGTTTATCAGCTGTGTTAGGATCCAGATAATAGGGACTTGGGGAGCTGTTAGTTCAGACTCCTCTTCTTATTCTAATGTCTGGCTGGAGAAGTGCTCCCATCCTCACAATGTCCCTAGTGCTCAAGGAAGGCAGGAAGAGTTTGGGTCATTAATACCAGGACTTCTATGTCTGAGTGTGGGGTAACTCTGACATCGAATGTTCCCTGTTACCCTTATGTTTCGTCACCCCAGAAGTGAACTCCCTTTGCTTGTTCTCCACTTGACCCTTTGCCTTCTAGGTGACTCTTCCATTTCTATTCAAACTGCCTTCTCTTCTCTGCCTTCTTCCCCTATGAGAAGGGGTTTAGTGATCCCCATATCCCTTCAAACAATCTGCCCTAGGCTCCTGCCTGTTTCCCTTCCCTTTTTCTCCCTGCATTTTGCAGCATTGTACCTGTTCAGTGATGTCACAGGGTACTGGGGCAGGCTCGTGTACCGTGCTGGCCCAACAACTCTTCCTTGTCTTGTTAATGCTGCGAGGGGGTGTCAAAAGGGAGATCTAGCAAATTCTCCTGAGCGTTTTCCCTGGGAACCTCCAGCCCTCCTGGACAAAAGGGCAGAGAGGACAGAATAGGGCGAGTGTGAGCTTTTTGGGGCCCTTCTCCCTTTCTCTGTGGATGTTGTTTCTTGAAGCAAAAGGTCTGACTGGGAGGAGTGGAGCAGCAGCAGCTGCTGGCTGTGGCAGAGAACCACGGGTGGGGAGCATGTGCTGAAGCTCTGGCTTCACAGGAATAGCAGCAATTCAAGCCTGTGTTCCAGGGCAGGGGGGTCACAGCTCCCCCCATTTTGCAGCAGGCTGTTTGTGTTTCTGCTGCCTGTAACCGCAGTTAGAGCTGAGAGGTGCCACATCATGTCAAACCAATGCAGTGATTGTTCCGTGATTGACATCTTTGAGGACGTCATCTGTCAACCCTCCTCAGTGATGACACAGCGCGGAGGTGTTGGAGCAGTCGGCAGTTTCCTCCAATCCTTTGCTGCTGCAGACATCCCTGACAGCCCTAGAAACATGTATCTTGGTGAACAGCCTCAGGGAAGAGGCTCGCTGTTGTCTGTACCTCATCTGGGACTCGCTGTTATGGGGCGTTCTGGTTTTAATCTCGCATAAATAGCACCAAGGAAATAAAAATTCAAAACTAAAACACCACCAAAAAATCCCACCCAAAACCTTTTGCAGTTGATGGGAATAAAAGTAATGTTTTACCATCTCTGTCAGGTCCTTGTCAGCAGAACTCCCTATTAGCCCATTGGTTCCTAGATATGAGTAGCTCCGTGTTTTGTCTGGATGTGGCTTGAAAGGCTGATTTCAAAGGGCAGTTGGTGTAAGTTGTGTCCTCAAGCTCCTGCCAGGACTTGGCTCATACTTCCCCTGCACAGGAGACTGCCACAGGCTTCCCCGTGAGCAAAACTTTTCCTTCTTGTCCTGATGGAGAGAGGTGACTTTACATTGCTTTGCCAAGCCCTTCTATATCACTGAAGTGAAACGGACTGAAGCAGCATTTTGGGGGTAAATGATGCCTGCCTAAAACTTCTATGTCACTTTTTGTGCTGGGAGACAGTTTTCAGCCTTTTATAATCTTACTGGACAGATTCTGGAGGTGTCTCCAGAAAACCTGAGCAGAGCCAAAACCTGTAACTTTAAAAAGTGGCAGCCCCTTCCTTGAAAATGCTCTGAGCGCAGAGAGAAATAAGTGTCTGCAACAATCAGTCATAGTACGTTACAAAAAAGCAGCCGATCTACCTGCAAATTACTTGTGCTCCTTTCATCCTGTTGATTCTGGTAGGGTGAAGTGGCCTCTTGTGCCAGAAGACGTTACCTAGTCCAGACACTTCAAGCATCCTTTTCATGTAAATCCACAGAAGCTATTGGAACAACCTGTCCAAACTCCTGAAATGCAAAAAGCCCTTCGAACTTCTCAAAAAAAAACCAAACCCAACACCAAACCCCCCAACTTTCTAACAGATATGACTGTGCAACTGCATCTTACTAAAGGTTGAGCTGAATTTTTGTAAGGTTTTTAATTCGAGTGCTATGACTGTTCTAATGACAGCAGTAGCCATCCCATGGCCTTTACACCGTGAGCGCCTTTCAGAGGTAACTCTCAGATCCCACATGTCATGAAGCTCAGGGTCACAGATTCCCAGCTCTAACATCTCATTGCAAGTTTTGCTTCAGGGAGAACATAGTACTTCAGCATCCTTCCAAGGTGGCTGTAATTTTCAGGTTAGCTCAATCCCATCATTATGGGAGTGTAACTTAATTAGTGTGCTGATAACGGGGTCTCACAGCCCCCGTTGACATGTTCAGTCAAGGAAATAACATTTGGAAATGTTTTACTGTCTGAAGCTTTTTTTGTGTATCATCTCCCAAGGCGAGGAACAAGTGGTTGTAAGTGTTTTGAGATCTGGGGCTTAACAGAGATGGAGCAATAGATTCTGCTGGGTCTAATAAACAGGACTGTCGAGTTGCTCTGGTTTGGTTGCTAAGATGAGGGAGCTCGCCCCAATTTAGAGGAATATAGCTGCTCGATTCAAGGCTTGCAGATAGTGCAAAACTAGACTTCTTTACCTCAGAAGACTGTACTGATGCAAATACCCTCCTCTGCCTCTCTTTCCTTCCTCCTCTCCTTTTCCTCAGCCCCTGTGTTGGGGAGGGCCTTCATTTCCAGTGATCACTTGATTCTCTGGAATCTAAATTAAAGCTTGTCCATGTGGAATTGGTCAGGCATTAACTCTGTGACACCTCTTTCTGTATGATCAGTACAAACGCCTTCCACTCTATTTGGTCTACGTCCTGCTGGGTTTGCTCTTTGCATTTCAAGGAGCTTGGACTGTAAAACTACTCTGGCTTGGTACTGGAGAATTTAATTATCATAATGATAGACCATCGTGATGCTGCTTAGGTTGCAGGTGCTGCAGGGAGCATACTTTAAAGGAAAACCAGATTGGACTCACTGACTTACAGAACATTTTTTATTTTTTTGTTGTAGACTTCTTAAAGCCTATAGTCGGAGTCTGAAGTGATCTTTCAAGTAATGAGTTGAAAGAGATGGCAAGGGTGCTGCCTTGTATTTTCTGTTTGGTTCTCCCCTCTCTCCAGTCACATACAGGAAGGAGATCCTAGAACACTTAATCTGGGCAGAGGGCAAACGCTTCAGTTGCTGCCCACTTATGTAGCTTCAGTGCCAGCAAAAGTTGAAACAGGATGGAGTAGCAATGGCCAGAGCTCCCTTTATTGAAGGAGAAGCTGCATTTGCTGGACACCAGAGCTAGAGAGCTGAAAGCAGCAAGCTTGCCCTGACATCAAACATCAGTATCGTGTATTGGAATAGGGAAGCGCAGCCTTGCAGTAGCCTCAAGGGCAGGGGAGGAAGGTGCTCCTCCAAACCAGCCAAGAATCTCTGACAGCAGCGTGTCTCAGAGGACCCCATCCATGCTGTGTGACTGTCATGTGCTTGATACAGGAGCTCACTGTTGTCCATGCTTCTCAACTCTCATTCCAGAGCCAGAGCACTCACTGGCAATAAATCTGTGCTCTTCCAAATTTCAGAGGGAAAGCAAAGCTGGCTGTCCAGTGGATTGCTTTACTGGTGACCCATGCTGCGCAGAAAGGCCAGTGCGAGGCCCCATATAAAACCTCTAAATGTCCTTCGTGGAGTTGCGCTCTGGTAGTTTGTGCCTCGAGTTTTATTCTCTTGCTGGCTCAGGCGAGGTGGAGAAGCATGTGTGATTGTGACTGCGATTGCTGTGCTAACCACAGTGTGTGTTCTCTTGTTTTTGTTTTCTGCTTTTTCACAGCAGAAGGGGCCCCGCCTCACCTACTCGACCTACCATAATCCGACCGGCTGAACCGTCCCTCTTAGATTTATAACTCGAGGCTGTAGACAGCTGGCGACGAATGCCGTGCTGGCGGCTTCCCCATTCCACCCTCCCTTCCACAGCCACAGTCACTCCTCTCATCCATCCCACATCTCTGCCTCCCGCCACCCCTCTCCTGGTGTGTCGTAAAGCACTAGCCTAGTGATCGAGCTCTTCGTCTTCACTCGTGCGTCCTGTATTGCTTTGTGAGCGTAGAGTAGCCTTCATGAGTGGCATGGATCCCTGAAGTACACAGGCTCCTTGGAGCGATCAGCCACAGGGACGTCTTTGAGTGCGCGTGGTGGCTGTCCGTCCAGTAATGTCATCTGCCTGGTCTAGCCTGGCTGAGTGTCCTGCCTGCATCAGTTAGCTGAGCCGTAGCTATTTTCTTTTCTTGTAGTTAAGAAGACAAAAGTGTGACTTAGAAGAAAAATACCGTCAAAAAAAAAGTGACACCGTTAGGAGCAGATTAAATGTCCTGTGTATTAGTTTGACTTCTAAGGTGCAAAAATTCACGTTGGGAACAGTGCAATCAACCTTATGTCCAAGCGAGGCAGGGAGGTTTGAGAAAGGGGGGAACTCCATGGATCGGCATAGTCCTGCTAGAGTCAAGTCCGAGATAGCGCGCGCACACACACCTCGGTGGGCAGGGAGCCCCGGGCCTGCTCGCCGCAGCTCCCCGGGGAGCTGGGGACATCTGCTGCCGACACGCTGGCTCCTGCCAGCCGTTGTCTCGCGTCACCCTTTTTGGCTGACTTTCCTGAACCCAGCAGGGAGAGGGGAATAGATGCGCTGCTCCCCCTTGCAAACGGACAACCAAATGTTTTCAGGGAGTTCGCTGTGTAATGTTTTGTTGAAAAATATTTCTGCTTTGAATAAGCACATCTTTCAGTGTTTTTTGGGTACTGTGGTGACTTCTTCCGTAGCCTTTTCTTCTTGCATGTGGATGGTACGTGTTTGGGGAAACTTGTAACCGTTGTTGATTGCAACTCATCCTTTTAAGGTTTGGGTTTTACTTTTCATGCTACATGTATTAAAAAAAAAAATACTTGAGAATTAAAAATATATCAACCCTGTCCATCTCGGATGTCATGTCTCTGCTAGAGCTGAATGAGCCACCTGTGTTGCAGGCTTGCAGCCAGGCCCCGCACAGATCTGAGTTACCTTGTTTCCGTGCTATCGCTCTTAATTTCTGTTGTGGATCCTCTATTGTTCTGATGCCAGTTACTTTCTGTATTTTAACTGTTGTTTTACTACCTCTCCCCTCTTCCTTCCCTTCCCCTTTTCCTTTTTTCTTTGTTTTTCTTGTCTTTAAACTCTAGCC